ACGCGCCCAGTAGGACCCGACTCGCTGCCGGTCGCCGGGGAAGGCAGCGAGGAAGGGTGCTGCCGCACCGCAAACACAAATGTATTGTTGACCGCAAGCTTCGCGCATTGAGGTTGTATGATGTACAAATCATGCCGTTGAGCATGAGGCGTCGGGTGGCGTAGAACAAACTCATATGGAGGGTTCTCGCCAGTGTGGATTATTGGAAGGGCAAGTGCCAGCGGATGGGGAATGTCTTTGCTTGAGTGCATCAGGCCCTTCTTGCCAGCGTAGATTTTGACTGTTCCTTGCCCTTCGTCGCCAGGCAAAACAGCTTTCACAGTGAAGCGTTTCTGACCACCGACCCAGTCTGGTTGCACCAGGGCGCGCTTGCGAACAACCTCCCCACTCTCAAAGAAGTCACCGTCGGCATCCCGAGCGAAAGCGGGCGCCTCAACTTCTGCCGCACATTCCACGTCCGGCGGCACGAGAAGGCGGATTTGTAGAAGCTCCAGCCCCTCAATTCTGATCAGGCTGGTATCATAGTCAGGAAACTGCAGGTTCATCTTGAAGTAAGGTGGGCACGCTGTAGGAAGGGCTAGCAACACATCTGGAGAGACAGGTGGACATATGTGTTGCTCCTCTGGATGCAATGGCACATGGGTATAGCAGATCTCAAGCGGACGCGCCAGGAAATACCAGCTTTCGGCTGTTGACGAGCCACTGGTGACGAACTGATTCCTTCGCGGGTTGGTTGGGTTTGCCAATGCACAATCGATAACGCGCCATTCGCCATCCACCAAGACTGTATTCCACCAGTGGTTTGGCCGCGAAAGACTGTCCAGCTCAAACAATTCACCGGGTGTTTTGAGGAACCCTTGCACTACTTCCGCATGAAGACCGACTGCCGCGCACATTTCCTTGACAAGGAACGCGACTTCCTGCGGACTTCCTCGTCTCGTTTGCAGAATTCGTTTCAAGTCAATTCCCATCTCCTCCACGGGCTCGTCCCAGGCAATTTTTTCACTGACCCAAGTGAAGATAGCTCGCAATCTCTGAACGTCGCTCTTGTAAGGTCGGCACACATAGCCCTGCGCAAGGCTCATCGGGTTGGTCATCGGTGGAAGGCTGTTGACAAACCGAGCACTTTTATCGACGAGGCTCAAGTTTACCGTGTTGAAGTTGGTGGGCTCGCTGATCGGCAGCCCGTCAATACTTTCATCACCTTCGGCAGTCTCGTGAAGCTCCTCCACCGCGTAGATCACAGGATGGTCCATCATCTGGCAACGCTCGGCTCTTTCGATACGTTCGTTGCGGCTTGGCGAGCTCGCTCGATTCACGTCACGCCGAACCTGCACCCAGTCGACCGCGCTAGACCCTGCATCGCGAGCCGAGTCACGTCTAATCGGAGACATTGCCCTGCCTTTTGTAGGTGAATAGGATCCACCACTGTGTCCCACAGCGATACTGCTTCTGGCATTCGCTGCACCAGTCTTGGCTGATTCGAAGATCTTCTTGAAGAACCCATGCTTCTTCGCCTTTGGAGTGGATAGACCGCCAAAAACAGCGGTAGATTCGCTGGAGTCGGCAGCAGGATGAGACCACGGTATAGCAGAAGAAGCGCCTTGCCGAGAGGTATTGTGACTTGAGTGGTACGATATACCAGTAAGAGGTGTCTCAGGCCGAGGCACGCGTGAAACATCGCTGAAGCCTCTTGAGCGAAAGGTTTCCATGGCCGTGTTTGGTCTTTCGTTACTTGACGTCAGGCCTCGCCTGGCATAACTGCCTGCACTTGTTGCACTGAATGCGCCCGCCGACGGGCCACTCATCAAGCTCTGGCTCGTTTGTTCTGTGCTGGCTGTCATAGCCGTGCTGATACTTTGCACACCGCTCGAAGATGTCGTGGTACTGGATTTATTCGTGTGACTTCGATTCAGAACGTCTTCTCTCAAGTCCTGCCCCGACCTTCGACTCCTCAGGTATGGATACTGCGCAGGAATCGAGTTATGCCTTCCGTGGTGAGCGAGATGCTTAGGTGGCGGAGGTGGAGGCTCTTCGTCGTCCTCCGGAGGCAGTATGTTTTCTGATCCTCTGCGACTCTGTTCCTGCATCTGACGCAGCCGGCTTTCCATTCTCTGCACGTAGTTGTTTAATTGCGGCGGCCCGTCAAGGTAGTGGTCATTGCCGTACATGGTGTTTCGATGTATGTGATTCTCACGGAATTGATAATCCTGTTCACCTTCGAAACCGAGCGATGTCAAGGGCCGGTGACCGTGCCGCGCAGGTCTGCCGTCACGAAGGCTACCAAAAGCCTCAGGAGACCAAGGATTATCAAATACCGGGGCTGGCGATGGTGAATGGGCCCCCCGCGACAATCCCATGTCTTCCAAGGACGTCATGACATCTTCCATTGCGTCGCGAAGAGGTGATGGAGTGTTCCCATTGGCGTCCGAATGAGCCGCTGGAGATGGAGTCCTTGACATGGCCACGTAGCGGTCATTCATATCCAGATGCGCGGGGACGCCCATGTCCATGGAAGGTCGCCGGTTCACTGCAATGCGATGCGGAGGGGGAGGTGGCGGCGGCGACTCTTCGCGCTCTTGAAGCTGCAACGGGGAGATTTCGCGAGACGGAGGGCGAACTGACGGAGGTCGAGCTAGTGGGGTCTGTCTGACAGGCACGGACGGCGGCAGAAGATCCATATCATCTTGGAGGCGAGGGGACGGGGCGCGGGACGGGGGCCTGGAGCGGGATATACTCTCTCTGGCTGGAGCGGGACTTTGTGGTGGAAGATCGGCGACCAGCGGCGCACGGGGTGAGACTCCACGGGGAGAAGGTCTATGTTGCGAGGGAGGTCTGGAAAGAGGGCTCTCTTTTTTCACCGCAGTTGTTGGTGTGCGCAGAGGTTTGACAGCCCGCGCACGGCTGCCGTTTCGAGGTGGTGTTTGCGGAATCGAGCTTGAAGCTTGTGTTGTCGTCGTCGTCGCACTCCGGGCCAGCTCCGCCGGGGCCAAAGCTTCCTTGTGGGCCTGAAAGGGCTTTCTAAATACTGTCTTCTGCTTCTTCGGAGCGGAGGTGGGATTCGTGATAGGAGAGCGTCCGGCAGTAATCATGGGACTCGTCGCTCTAGGGACAGGCACGAAATCTTCACCCAGAACCTCCACGAAATTGGATGGGAAAAGCCCGACCATGCGCCTGTCACGGCGCAAACGGCCCATCCACCATTGCCCATCTCCTGCATTCAAACACTCAATAAGATCGCCCTCCACAAAGCCGAGATCACGTTTTGTTTCTCCTCCCCACGAGTAAATCGCACGACACCAGCACGGGAACCGCGTGGGCAGCTGAGGTGCCGCGGGCGACATTGCGGCTGGGGTGCCGGCGCAATGAAGCCCTGCCTTTGAGTCCGACCGGGGGATGTAGAAACAGCGTGTACTGTTTTAACTGGTGATCTGCAGGATATGTGTTAGTACACAATAATTATGTGTGAAACGACATGTACGAAGGTCTGGAAAAGACGCACCGTGGTTCGAACCAGTAGTAACAAATGAGAGGATAATATTAGGACCCATACAAGGGAGTTCCCAAACTGTACATGGTAGGGATGGTACAGCCAAGTATAGAAGGGCGTGATAATAGACAGCTACCAATGTGTTTCAATGAGAGGGGAGCGAGGTAAGGATGTGATAGATCAGATCGATAAGGACAGAGATCGGAAGAATAAAAAGGGAAAATGAGACAAGGACGAGGGGCGGGAGCAGTAGATGCTGAGAGAGTACTACACCGTGCGAAAGGAGAGAAGGGAAGACACACACACGCACAGAGATGGAGGGAGAGAGAGGAGCTGGCTGAGCTGAGCTGAGCTGAAGTCACGGTGAGGCCCGATGGCTGTTTTGGTGTTTACGTGGGCACCCGATTAGGCCTAGCGCAGTCTGGCCTCCGTTATCGATAAGCTTAATGTGCACGTCCTCCACCTCAGTAGTATCCTTCCCAATCATCTCCCCCAGAATGCAGAGGAAATTCCTTCTTTCTAAGAAGTAATCATTATATATGTCCCAACATTATATATGGTAGCTCATCTCTCATCGGGTGCACCCTATCTGATGGATCCAAGCCATGTCCAAGGTCCCAGAACCGAGACAGGAGCGCAACGCTCTAGATACATCTTTAAAGTCGACCCATGGTTTACTGACTCCGCTTCCCGCGGGTTTATCCATGGACAGCACAATGCCGGCTTCGAATGGAGCCACATAGTGACCTTGATCGCATACCAAGAATAGGACAGCAACGTCAGAAACTAGTGCCTGACGTACCAATCAGGACAACAGATTCGGCTGTGGAATAGCGCGAGGTCGAAATCGACGCCTATATCCTGGAACAAATCGCTCTCGGTATGGCGGTTATCCGCACCGACCCATCAGTCACCCTTAACCGATATCCGGGTCTAACTTAGGTGTATACGTTGGCGCCACATCGGGGGATCCACAGCACAGGGTCCCTCTTCATTCACATCTACCTGATAAGACCGCATACGAATCCCACATTCCTCGAGGATCCGATTGCTCCTTTGAGTGCATTGGATTGACGGACACAGTCGACCGGTAACATACGAGACATCCCAGGAAAGATTGGCGAAGGCTCATTCAGTGTCCGATTGTAGAACGCAGCTACCTGGTATTTGGTATCAGCCTGAAGTGCAGCATGAGAAATCTTCATGGAATTCTATAGAAGAACTAGACAACCACGAGGTATCATTATAGCCAAGCAGTAAGTGATGGACAGTACTAAGAAATGTACAGAGAAATCCGATCAGAACGCCCGAGTATGCGAGGCCGTCACAAGATGAAAGGGAACACTTTAAGGAAATGCATCCGGAGGCAATCCATATAGATAATCACGAAATGACCTTATGGGGAAATACAGTCAGTACTGTAGCCTCGAGATGCATGGGAACCCAATTTCGATCATCAACAGTAGATACAAGTGAAATTGGTGAGGGAGTATGACATCCACGATCTTGACTACAGAGACATCTCAGAGCTAAACCGCAATCCACTGCCTCGTCCTGAGTACCCGGAACCATTGTGATTATTGATCCCTGGGCTGGTTGGACGGCTATTTGCCGCTGTCCATTTAGGGCTTCGTGGCTGCGTGCTCGTTGATCTGGTCGAAGGTCGGTTTTTTCGAAATTCTCGCAGCTCATCCTCCTTTCTGCGCAAGAGATCTTCGCGAGATGCGAGCATGGCTTCCAACTCTTTGACGCGCGCAAGATGTCGCTGTTCATCACTCTGAATGTTGAGTTCTCTGAGACGGCTGGCATCCTCCGCAACCCTGCGCTTCAAGGACTCATTCTCCTCTTTAAGCAGCAGAATCTCGTTCCCTGATTGTGCAGCCACGTTGGACGCGGTCTGGTACTGTTCGCGTGTGTACTCTGCCTGCTTTGCCTCGTATTCGGCTTTTCGCTCCAGGGAAGCATTGTCTTTGGTTAGCCGACGGATCTCCTCCTGTGCTCTTTCCAATTCTGCCATGCTTCCTCCTCCGGCCTTTAGAGCTTCCCGCGCCTTTTCGAGGTCATGTCTTAACTGAGTGCGCTCATCCTTTAGTTTTATAATATCTTCCTTTTGCTTCTCGAGTCTCTGCTCAGACAAAACTTTGGTTTCCGCCAAACGATCACGCTCTTGCCGCACTTTGTGTAATTCATTCGTGCGACTCTCATAGCGATGTTGGAGCAATGAGAGAATCCCTTCTCGTTCTTGTAGACGAGATTGCGCATCGACCAAGGCTTTTTGGAGTTTGTCAAGCTCGGCCGCATGAGACGTTTTCAACTGCAGGAGATGTGACTCCAAAGCCCGCAGATCATTATCCAATGTTTGGCTGGGAAACTTTATGGATTCCTTCGAAGCTTCGGTAAATTGACTGGCTTCTTGAGACTCTTCCATCCTCGGCCTTTTAGGTGTCTGTTCAGTAGTGTCTTCCACCTGCTGAGAGAACGTTAACCGGTCAATACTATGATAAGAGGATGGACAGTGACTAACGAATAAACGCTTTGGAATTTGCGGGGTAGGCAACATCGCAGTCTCGGGGTAGTTCTGGTAAGTACTCGGCGCGGAGTTGAGCTCATCGGAGCTTACGATGTGGAGTGGCTCGATGGAAGGTAAGGGCCAGTGAGCATTGAAATTGTCCGAAAGAAGACTCGATATGATTTCCTCAGAATCTTCGTAAACTCCTAGGGCATCATCCTGGAGATCGCCTACCACGTCTCTAAGACGTGAGGTATATTGAACCACTAAGCGTAGACGCTGAGGTTCTGGGTAGTTGGCAAAACATAGCTGAACATGCTCGCTGGAGTTTGAGACGAGCAGTCGAATCACGGGGAGGAGGTTCCCATGTCGAGCATAGGTTGTTCGCATGTGCTCGACCGAGGGGCTCTTTGCGTTGAAGGAACTGTCAAGTGCGATGATGGCAGCCGGGGGTTTATAAGTCTCCATAATGCCATCGTCGATTGTTGACTGGATCCCAAAACTCAGTGATTCTTTCACCATGGAGACTTCCAAATTCGTTCCAATTCCCATCTCGTGGCGAGGCCGCGTGTACGAAAGGCCCTTGCCCATAAGAAAGCGCTCAAGTATCCTCAGAGTCTTCGCTCCGTGAACCATGACGACCAAGTGCAGATCACGGTTACTAGCACTGTTGATCAGGTATCCCAGGAGTAAGAACTTCGCGCTTGAGTATTCAGCCCACGCAGCCTCTTTGGCTAGGTCCGAATCCGAGTCTTTAATATGTTCGGTAATATTCAGATCAGGGTGGGTTGAAGCGTTGCTCAAACGCTCAAGTAAGCTATTCATTCTGGGAATCAAACGCTCTTGCTGTTCACCATTTAGATGTTGATCGACGAGGCGGAGGGTACATTGAACTCACCTCTATCCTGGACGTTTCGGCCTGGAGCGCGAACGTCTTAAGGAATTCGTCAATGCTTTGGGCTTCGTCTTTCAATATCCGCTCATAATCATCTTTTACCCTTGAATCCATCGGGAGGGGCACCGCAAACTCTGATGGCCCAAGCTGGACAGAGCCTGGAATCGCTTGCTCTTGATGACTGACCGTCAGGGCGCTGGGTTGGATTGTCTCCAAAATAGGTTGTTGAGGAGGACCCATTTCCGTGGGTCGTACCAGTGAGCCGGGAGCACTTATTTCTCCCTCAGCATGGGTTACGTGTGCAGCATCTTCTCTATCAACCCTAACGCTAAGAGGTGCCGTAATTTCGGGTATGAACACAGAGGGCGATGGTTCAATATCCCCAGCCGAGGACGGAGTGACGCTAGCATCAGCGTTCAGAGGAGTTCCAGGATTGGTTTTCGCACGTATTTGAGCATGTGCATTTCGAATCTTTTCCAATGGCGTCGAACCCTCGAATTGGCTATATTTCTCCATGGTCTCCGCCAGAGACGGCGTGTCTCTGTCTCCCATGCTGGCATCCATTGCCACGGCTTCGATAACCACGGATGCCGAGGCCTTCTGTTTCGAGGGTATTGGTCGGAGGTTTATACTTTGTTCTGGTGATTGACCTGTGTTCTGCGACTGATGTGAAAAAACCGTCTCCGGCACGGAACTTACGGGACGAACAGCGCTGTTACCGGCAAGACTTTCTGATATGCCTGGAGTCGTTAGCCTGGTTCACAATAAAGGAAATGTTAGATCAACAACCTGCTGACCGGAAACTACCTGATAAGACCTGAGAGCCTACGCTGCTGGAGTTAGATTTCTGCGTGACTGAGATAATTGATGTCTGCGAACCCGCTGAGGTGACGCGTGTACCCTGGCTTCTTGGAATATTTGTCGGGGAGGGTGGCGTCTCCGCTATCTCGTCCGCTCGTCTGTTTCGATTGCCAGCTAGTGTTTGAGAGGGACTCTGAGTAGCGCGAATAATATTCGGAGCAACCTTAGATTCCACAGGAGAATTGGGCGCTGTGATTTCGCCAGGAAGTCGATATCTGGACGGTATCGAGGATCTACTAATGTACTCGAACACAAGCCGAGAGTGATTTGGTGTTGTGATTGACAAAGGCGGTCTGTGGGTGATTTCTTTAGTGGCACCTGGTCGGGGACCTTTCAATTCCTGAGAGAGAGATGGCGCCTGATCGGGTTGCGTTGGCACTTCAATAGACCCAGTATTCTCCTCTAGATGTGGTCCTTCGTCGATTGGTACGAACAATGGAGAGGGGGAACGGTCGTCAGATCGCGACGGCTCAATTCGGCTTTCCGTGAAGATAAGGCCTGGACTCTCTGCGCTTCGACTTTCGACGTGGGAGTCAGTTAAATGGATTGGCGACGGATTAGCGGGATGGTTCCTCGACAGGCTGTTATTCGTCCTCTTCTTTTCTTCCCACACTCTTATCGCGGCTTCGTTGGCGTTTCCTTTGGGTTCCTGTCCGTATGTACCCTGATTAGACAACTACCACTTTGTCTCCAAGCGCCAACTGTTTCCAGACGGACGCTTCGCCCAACTCACCCAAGTCGGCGACCAGGGGCCCTCCCAGTCAATAAGGTATTGTGATTCGGTTTCGTCAAGGATGCAGTTAATGTACCATTCGTCTTCGTCTAAGCTAGATCTGCTGTCGTCGTCCTCGTCGTCACTTGATGAGATGACATAGACTTCTTTCCACTTTCTCTTTCTGGAGTTTTCTGCAGGGTCTGGAGATGCGGGTGAAGCGGCTTTGCGCTTGCGCCACATCATGCGCGTTCAATGAGCCCGGCCACTTTGTAGGAATCCATGACGGAGTGAGATCTCTTGAAGAGTAAGAAAAGATGGCGTGGTTAAAATAAGAGCTAGTTGCTGAGTCAGTTCATTTTGTAAGAACAAAGGAGGAAGCTATTGACATACCGAGCAGCAATGGGCCTTTGTGAATAGAGAGGTAAAGCGGAGTGAATTATTTAAGTATGAACAACTCGGTCGACAGGGAGCTACGCGGATGATCGCCAACACGTGATAGGCTTGCGCTTATCAGTACCCAACTCCACCTTGATAGTATCGATATGTAGAGATGTCGGTGGCGCAACTAATGCTGTTGAGGGTTTGGTGGGAAGATGTAGGTGTAAGAAGGTAAGTGCTCATGATCATAGAAAGGGAGGTATTTGTACTCGCAAGTGAGCTGTGGTGGTTGTCGAGGTTTGAGCTGTAAGTGAGGTGGTGGTGCGGAGGTGAGGTCAAATTGAGGATGATCAATGACACACCACCTCACCTGTCTCTTTACCGAGCTTCACTGCCGCACGGAGTATATATTCAGAAAGGTATCGGTGTTACTGCAGAAGAAATCAACATGGAGAAAAGTTCTGTCTGTGCTCTATTCAGGTATGTCTATAGTTCATGTAACATCTCTATTCTTGTCTTTCCTTCCCATCCTCATCATAATCAAAACCAAGTTCTGCGATGGATTTGATATTGCGACGCTCCTCGCCCTTCTCAACGAAGGCCCTTCTGATCTCGGGAAACTTTTGTCGCATCCACCTTTGCTTCTTTCCCCAGTAATTGCATTGCTTGCCATGGCCATTATTGGTCAGTCCTTGGCGTGATTTGGCCATATCTGCCCAGCCATGAAGGAAGTTCATATAATCAGCATCCAAGGGAAAGTGCATTAGATGGAATTTTGTGCCATCGCCTTTTGTAGCGACAGTGGATTCCTCCCATTGTTTCATCTCTGCTATTGATGGCAGAGGAAGGCGTCCTGACCAAACTCGGGCATAGACTGCCGCTTGATTTTCCGATAACGGGAACGGAATGACTCTCTGGGGAAGAACAGGGAATACAAGGGTAGGATTGTAGATGTAGAAAAGATGTTGATAGGTATTCAAAGTCCTGCGACCATCCCCGATAACAGGCTGGTCGAGTGACGACAGGAACGGGAATGAGTACAAGTAGCCGGTACAGAAAACAATGGCATCGATGTCCATCTCTACCCTGCCATCTGCAAAGCGCACTGCTCGTTGAAGAGACTCGGGCGGGAGAAATTCCACGATCTCGGGGAAGTAACTTTTGTCTGTGGAAGCAGAAGGCGTCAAGTACGACTCTGTTCGCTGAGAAACGAGCACTTTGCCCTTGCTCACCCGATTTATTTGAGCTCCGATGTCTACAGCGGAGGCTGAACTTCCAACGACAACGACCTTTTTGTCACGAAATTGTTCGGGTGAATCGAAGTACTTGGAATGGGAAACCACGCCTGGATATTTCCTATTCCACGGTTCAATGCCTTTGATGTCGGGCAAGTACGGCACATCAAAATGCCCGCTGGCTACCACCACCGCATCATAGGTACCGGACTGCTTAGCCCCAGTACGCAGATTTCTTGTTGTCAGCGCCCAAGCCTTCTTGGACGGCTCTTCTAGTCTGACATCAAGTACTTGAGTTTCGAACTGAACGAGGTCTTTAACATCCTCTGCATATTCTTCCAGATATTTCTTTACTGTGGAATGATTCGGTAAGACTTGGCAGTCGGCAGGAAATGGTTTGTCATAATATGCCATCAGTTCTTTCGGGATATTGGTATCGAGGGTGCTATAGACGGGAGAGATAAAGGTGAGCTGACGGGGCTTCTCTGTCTCCTCAGATCGATACCATATAGGCTCTTCAAGTGGTCCGTCTGGGTTCAATTGCGGCACCCGAGTCACCAGGCCTGCTTTCAAAGCACCGGGAGTATAGTTCCAGACTCCGCCAACTGAGCTTCTCTGTTCAAAGACATCTATCTTATCAAAGCACTTCTCTGCGAGGAGATATCTAGATTATTGTAAGTAAAAAGATACATAAGTGATATGTCCGCAGGATGCGCCACAGTATGGGAAGTCCTCGTACTTTACCGCAGAAAGACCAGACGGCCCGGCACCGATTACGGCTATCCGACGGACTGGTTGTGAAATCGCCATGGTCAGGGGCCTTGTTAGGATTAGTATAAGATAGATCTGACACAAGGAGCATCAGATAGTCAAAGCTCTGCAGTCCGGCTCCTTGGCCGAGTGTGAGCAGGATGCTAAGTATGACAAAAGTAAACCACCCGAATCTCATCGGCAATTTAGCCCCGCTGACGACATTGAAGAAGCCGTGATTCGGCCTTTCAGCGCCCGATAAAAGATTCCAACCAGATATACGGAGTACCTTGGACAGAATCGTTTGTACTCATCTCTCCGCTTCATTTAACTCCATAGTCATTCTGTTTCAACTCGCTCCGTAGCCCCTGAAGCCTTCACGAGCCATGTGATAGCCGTGTTTTGAACGATACATAAATTACGTCACCTATTGGGGTTGAAAGAGCTGTCGTATGGTATTATTACAAGGAGAATACCTGCCTCAGTGATATAACTTAGCCTTCCGAAGCTTTACGCAACAAACACAAGAAAATCATCGCGTGCTCTTCCCTTGGGATCGTTGGTATTCCAACACCAAGCGACATTACTCTTGCTCTAATACTCTCGATCTGCTCTCCACAGATGACTTTCTGACGAACGAGCAATTTCCTTCAACAGCAAGGAAAATGCAACATCGTTGATCAAGGCCTGACCGATTCCGCTAATCCGCTCCGCGGCCGCGACGATGAACTCCCCCGAACAACCTCCGGTTTCTGAACCCCTGCGTCCGACTGCCATACCTATTGCGCAAATCTCGCCGGACGCCGATCGGATCTTAGAACGCTCAATACACGCGATCGTTACCCTAGTATGGCCTTACTCGTCGTCGAACGAATCTCTCAGCCTTTTGTTAGCTGAGCCCGACTTCCGCCTCCGACGAAACAATGGTCAAGTGAAAGTGGTCTTTCGTGGATGTGCTGCAGAAGCGGTAGCCAAGTCTCAAGTTGGAATCGGCGACCATGTTTATCTAGGCTTGGCTGGGTCTAAATTCATGCCCAGTGAGGCAGTAGCTCAGACGCCTGGAAAGTGTGTGCCTTGGGATGTACAACTTGATGATCGCGTGCTACTTGAGGTGCGTTGAGCGCGTAGCAAAGAGGGTACAGCAGTGTAAACTGATCAGAACTATAGATCTGGCGTTCGTCTCAACACTTCTCGACCGTGAAACTTGACCCTTCTACAGCTCCAAGCCAGAACACAGAAAATGCGATTGCGCCGCCAGCTACACCGATTGCTAATGGACGTGTTGAGTGCACCGAGGCGACTTTAGCTGCTACACTCGAAGCTTGGAGATCTCCCGCCTTCGTGGAGCGAACACGTACATCGTTCGGTGGTCTCGTGGATTCGGCCTATGATCCATTCGCTGAAGAAGATGGGTTTGTTCCTGGCAAAGGCCGGAAACGACCTCGTTTTAGCTTTCGAGGCGCCGATTGGCGTGTCATTGACGAACCCGCAAGTCCCGGAGAAAAAGAGGTACCAGCAGATTGGACGTGGATGTTTGAAGAAGACGGAACTCACGAGCCCGATATTGGTGGAGAATATCGTATAGACAGCGCCACATTACCTCAAGAGATTTCCACAGCGACCGCTACGGTGCCAAATGCTCCAGTAGGCGCCGATACCGTCGCAAAGGTCGGCCATGAATCACTTGATGTTGGTTTAATGAGCACAGAACGAATGGCCGAACAGCCAACCAGGCCAAGTCATGAATTTGCTCAACCACTACGTGCGCCTGGATTTCCCCAACACTTTGCCAGACAGCAATTTTCAGGTCCCGATTTCCAATATCCAACAGACACGCCACGCCTGTATCCTATTCCTTCTCCAGGACTGCCGATTCCATCACCACTAGTCACTAGGTCGAGTAGTGCTCATGACTACTTTCCACCGGTTGCTTCCAATGTGCAAACTTCCTCAGATCAATCCGCTGCAGAGGGAGAAGTAGTGGAGATGGAAGAAGAAAATATCGTCATATCTAGTGTCCAGCCTGACGTTCCCACGACGCAAGAGCTCCAACCGCTTGTTACGACTCCTCAGCAGGCCGTCGCAGGGAATAAATCGGTTTTAACGTCTCAAAACGCTTATATCGATTTGGAAGCCGAAGGCCAAAGGGGTATGAAGGACACTTCAGCAGCCGACGCCATGCCCTTCGAGGATGGAGAACCTGCGCGACACCATGAAGATGTTGAGAAACGGATATCCAACGTCCCGCCGGTCTCCTTGGATCAGTCGTATGCGGAGAAGTCCGCCGAGATCGCGAGCCGCGATATTAGGGACGTTGCTGAGGAAGAATCAGAACAAAGTGGCATCGATCAAGAGATGGGAGAAGTCCAGGACGAAGAGTATAATGAAGGCAGCGAAGATGAGTTGGAAGAACAGTCAGAAGTGGGGTTGGAAGAAGAGTCATTTGAAGAGGAATCAGCCGAAGAGGAAGAGGACGAATTACTCGAAGAGTATGGATATGAGGATATTCAAAAACTACGAAATCAACGACCACCTGATTCCTTCGGAATCAATGACTTTCACCAAGATGGTACAAGGCGTTATGAAGATTCCGAGGTCGAGGAGGTTGCGATTGGTACCAAAGCGTTGGAAGACGATGATGGGTCCGATTCCGGATCTGAGGCCTCTTCGGCTGCAGAACGACAGGCTGCTGAAGAAAGGGTTCATCCCCATAATTTTGAAGAGGAGAGCGGCGAAGACCATGAAGGTCATTATGAAGACGCAGGAACGTTCGATGAAGAAGACATCGAGGGTGGAGATGAGCGGGTGGAGGTGTTTGGGGAAGAAGAGGATGAGGAGGAGGAAGAGGAGGAGGAAGAGGAGGAGGAGGAGGAGGAGGAGGAGGAGGAGGAGGAGGAGGAGGAGGAGGAGGAGGAGGAGGAGGAGGAGGAGGAGGAGGAGGAGGAGGAGGAGGAGGAGGAGGAGGAGGAGGAGGAAGACCAAGAAGAATCGGAGCTTGAGGACGAGCGAGAGGCGTACGAGGATGACTATGATCATGTGGAATCTGAATCCGAGTCATATGCAGGTGCAGATTCTGCAGCTAGGCCGGAGAAAGTTGTTCATCCGGAGGTCATTGTCTTGGACAGCGACAGCGAAGATGAGGCTGTTGTCAGCGCCCCGACGCAAACTCATACGCCATCAGCCGAATATGCTGCTGCAGAGTCATCTGCAGCATCAGCTGAAGAGGACGAGGTGTATGACAGCAGCTCTGTCGGTTCGGAAGCAGAAGAGTGGCCCGAAGATGAGCTGGCTGAAGATGACCAAACGGGGGATGACGAAGCGGAAGAAGAGTCTATGCAGGATGAAATAGCCGCGCGCGATAATGCTGAAGATGAAATCATGGAGGATGCGCCTTCAGAGGAGGATTTCGTCGCAGAAGAGCGAATGGAAGTCCAGGCAGACGGCGAAAAAAATTCAGCTTTGGCGGATGCAGTGCAGAGCCAAGCTCAGCAGAAAGCTGATAATGAAAATGACTTTATCTCCGACACACGTAACGAGGTGCCACAAGCAACTTCAGGTGTACCGCAAGGCCCAGAGGGCCAGGACATCGACGATCTTCGGGTCTCTGTCGCGCAATCTACACAAGGACCTTACCCAGATTCTGAATCTGGCCGGCGGGCTCAGGATTTAGCAATTGATCCTGAGTTATATCGACTAGGACGTACTGGCGAGGATGAAACGCACAGTCCGGAGGCCGATCCTCACGCTGAGCCAGGGCTGGAAAAGCCCCGTTTGGAGGATGAGGGTATCAGGGAGCCATTCTCCGATGGCACTGCCTCCCCACAACCCGTTGACAGCTCTGCAGAACTTGCATCTCATGTCCAGGAGCCTTCACCCCATGCTCCACACTTGGTCACTCCGGCTGCTTCACAATTGATTGCGCCTAGTCATCATCTTCCTACCGCCATTCCAATCGGTGACTTTCTACCGACACCCGAACAGACACAGGAGGTAGCCCAAGGTCTCAGTACCCAATACGATGATAACGCCGATGCTCTGGCTCAAGCGGTGTTGCACATATCCACCACGTCCGTAGAGACTGATGTATCGTCAACAAACGAGTATAATGTGCGAATGAGTTCGACTCTGGCCGAACAGCAACGGCAGACGCAGACCGATGGGGTATCTGTTCATGATGAAGAGTATGCGGTATCTTCCGGAGGAGACAGAATCCCAAGTGAAGTTCATGATTGGGGGGTTTCAGCACAGTCAGTGGAGAGAATGCCGTCGGTTGTAAATCGTCACCATCCCGGTTTGCGAAGCAAATATTCTTACTTCGCCCCTCTTGCTACGCTTATCGACCATTACAATTCGCTGATAGATACGATCTCTGTTGTGTCCGAGGTTTCTCCAACCAGTCAGGCCACTACAGGAAAGAAGGACTTCACATTGGCACTCCAGGTTACCGACCCATCGATGGCAGGCACTATCCTTCATGCACAAATTTTTCGCCCTTACAAATCTGCACTTCCTTCTGTCAAAGAAGGCGACGCCATATTGCTTCGCAACTTCCAGGTCAAAAGCTTCAATCACTCTATGATGCTTGTCAGCGTCGACACTAGCGCATGGGCTGTTTTCCACAACGCCAGCAAAGAAGCGCAAGTTGCCGGCCCTCCTGTCGAATACGGCGATGAGGAAAGTGCATACGCCACTGACCTACGGCAATGGTATCATGAAGTTGGAATTGCCATGGTAGCGGATTACCAGCTTCAGGCGTCGGTACAGACGGCTAGTAGAGAGGCAACGCCTGTCAGTAGTGTTGCGCACAGTGACGCGGGTAGCGTTGACTCGGCGACTCGAGAAGTACGTGGGGAATCATCTGTCTCTAACAGAGGCTCGAAACGGAGGAAATCCCACCGGAGGATAACAATTCACGAATTGAGGGACGGAAGAAGGTATGCCGAGGTCGGATCGCCGTCCGACAAAGAAAGTATACATGAACTCAGAGATGGGACAGTATATGCGAATCTCTGATTCAGCCTTTTGGTCTTGATAATGTTGTGATGATTTGGTTCGTGGTCTGGCCCTCGATGTCTATCAGGCACTGGTAGACTTTTTGGATTAATGGTTCAGGCGTGATCGTACTGGAAGCTGGCTTCTTGGAGGTTGCGATCAAATCACAAGCCCTCATCGTAGCCGGAAAGTGAGGTATTATTATCAAACTATTTTGTTGACAAGTATGTGTGTCATTAAATTCCGCGGTCTATGGCTCTGTCCTCATATGCTACGCTCTATGGAAGTATTACGGTCTATGCAAGGCACTGGTATATACAGCATTTGCTGAGAAGCCGTGAAGCACTTGTAACCTGGGAAGAACGCCTGATCCACTACATCTTTGATTCTTTCGAAGTGATGTAATCTCCCGTGATGGCTGCCTTTATGAGCTGGTGGGCTATGGCGGTAGGAGGAGGAAGTCTCAAACCACCCTTGTACTCGGGACCAGCCGTCTCTCCCAACGCACTTGTTCCAACCCTCAAGGCTTCCTCCACCTCCTCGATTTCGAACCACTTTGCATCCTCTAACTCAGGGTCATGMAACAGATTAATCTTCTCATGCTCGGGATCGCTGACCTGAGCAATGGCACCGATCATAAGATTGGCCGGGTATGGCCATGGCTGAGATGAATGAATCACGACACGCGAAAGCGTGACACCAGCTTCCTCCCACACTTCTCTCCGAACAGCGTCCTCGACCGATTCTGCGGGCTCAATAAAACCAGCCAGGGTCGAGTACCAGTTCGGCGGGAAGCGCTTGGAGCGGCCGAGGAGAATCCGCTTAGCGTCGGCCGAGAGGACAGCGACAATGATTGTCGGGTCAGTGCGGGGGAAGGAAAGATTTGACAATGTTGTGCGAGTGTTGCACTCAGGTCGCTGCTTTCCTTGTTCTGCGAGAGCAGCATCCGTCGGCGGACACGCACGTTTCGTACCCGAATTCACAGAAAGCGTAGGGTAACCGCAGGTGCCGCAGAATGTATTCCGGGTGTTCCAGTCAATCAGCGCACGGGCCTGTGCATATATGGCAGCTGGGTGGCGCAAGTCAAAATCAGTAGGTTTCTCACTGTTGTCGTTGTCGATAGTTCACATACCCTCGTCCGCTGAGAACGTCATCACCACTCTTGACTGGTAGAAGTTGAGGCCTTTAGCCTCCATTGTGCTGATGATGTCCTTCGCGTTGGCTTGCTGCTCCTCCGAACCTTTCGGCGTTACATCCAAAGCGAAATAAGGAGCCCCAGTGTAGATTTTCCAAGCCAGACCATCCTGCTTCCTGGTCTCATCAAGTCCCAGGAAGATGAGCTGAGCATGTGTCTTTCGAGAGTCAAATTGCTTGATCATCTCCTCCTCGGACTTGTCGAAGGCATTTTCGGGCACAAGCTTCCGTACTTCGTCATACTTTGCGTAATATAGCTCAGAAGGACTCTTGGTGAGAGGCGCAAGATCTTTCAGCAGTACAAAGCGAGTAGAGGGATGCTTAAGCGCAGCCGAGAGGAACGGATGTTCAGAGCGCAAGAATGAGAGACGGTTTAGAGGCGAGCCTGTAAGTGTCAGTTGAATATGCAGCAAGGAAAAACAACTATGCCATAGAAGAGATCCTCACTAGAAAAATAGTTCACCGTTTCTCTTCCAAAATGCCGCGAGAGCATTGAGTCAGCCAGTATATGGGCGGGTGCGGGGATCTGGGGACCGTTGGACATAATGCTGTCGCTGGGAGCAATTCCGCTCGTCACTGCAATTCTCGACGAATGTTAATAGATCGCTTTTCTGAGGCTTGAGAATAATCGAGGAGGATATGACACATATGGCAACCCGATATCATCACACTAGCGCCACTATTTCTAAGCTGTCCTTCATAACGTTAAGTTAATAGATAAGGGATGATTAATCATCTGGTAACTATGGCCGAGGATGAACACGGCGCAATCTCGGAGGAAGATCTCGTATTCCGCGGGGCACAAAGGAAAACTGCCTAAGCTAAGGAAAGCTCCCCACACACGTGATCTGCGTCATGGTTACTGTCGAGCAGTCTCCAATAATTCTTATCTGATACGCATTTGCTTATGAGACGGTGGACCTAGCTGGGGTTGACTCTGATCAGGCACTGTACTGTCTTTGTAAAAGGTAATTGTTCTCCATTGATGGCCTAGAAATGCTGCATTGGCTTGTCTTGATCACACTATGATGCTATTCTCCTTTGCCAGAGCTCCGAGCGGGGAGTTCTATGCAAGCATTTCTTGGTTGGCAAAGAGTCTTTATGTGTACTTCTGGACTGACATATAAGTATCCTACATAAGCATCCATTGGCGTCTCATTCTCTCTCGATACTGAAGCTAGTTCAACTGGTGGCCTGAAAGCTACAAGCTGAGTCACAATGGGGCATCTTGTAACGCTCGCAACATGGTATATCACAGTCCTACTTCTATTTCTTGCGACGCATTGATGCTAACTGGTGCTCTGCAAAGCTCTCTTAACCAATGGGCTTTGGATTTTGAAGGAAATGCTGAACGTATTATTGAGAGTATTCGGCAAGCCAAAGCCGCTGGGGCTACTCTACGTGTTGGTCCGGAGCTCGAGATCACTGGTACGGACCGAGCGCCGTCATGTCTTTCACCAAATGGTTGTTAAGTTTTCTCAGGATATGGTGTTCTCGATGGCTTCCTAGAAGGCGATACGTTTCTACACTCGTGGGAGATGCTGGCCCGTATCATTGATCACCCAGACTGTCAAGACATTGTCGTTGATATTGGCATGCCGGTTCGTCATCGGAACGTGCGATACAATTGCCGGTGAGTTGGTTTCTACCCTGTTGGAATTCCTAAACTAACGAGCGTAGCGTGATCTTTTACAACAAAAAGATTATCCTCATTCGCCCGAAGATGTGGCTTGCTAATGGTATACTGTTCATCTTCCTTGTCGTTTCTCTTCTCACGTAAGCCCAGCTTTTCGCTAACTATGTTGATGCGAGATCAGACGGGAACTATCGAGAGCTTAGGCATTTCGCCCCATGGCAGCGCCCTCGTGAGATCGAAGACTATTACCTGGAGCGGATCGTGGGCAAAATCACCGGCCAATATAAGGTGCCTTTTGGTGACGCGGTCATCAGCACGCGGGACACGTGCTTAGGGCTTGAAACCTGCGAAGAACTTTTTACTCCTAATGGGTATGTGCTGACCTATACCGCTGTCGAGCAAGTTGACTGACTGTTTCAAATCAAGTCCTCATATTCCGTACGGCCTGGCTGGTAAATACCCTCATATGTTATTGCTAAACAATCGCTTGCTCACATAACCCTCCAGGCGTTGAGATTATTTCAAACTCGTCAGGAAGCCATCATGAGCTGAAGAAGCTTGACACTCGTGTGAATCTGATCACCCAGGCTACTAAACTGGTAAATGTGTTGCTCTTTTGCGTTCTCGTTTCACGAACTAATACACCGATATAGAGCGGAGGCATCTACCTTTATGCCAACCAGCAAGGTTGCGATGGTGATAGACTCTACTACGATGGCTGTGCAATGATTGTCATCAACGGGAATATAGTTGCCCAGGGTTCTCAATTCTCCCTGAAAGATGTGGAGGTCGTTACGGCTACTGTTGATATCGAAGAAGTCTGTCACCTACATCAGCCTTACTCATTTGCCTTGGTACTGATGACAGGCAGGTTCGGACCTATCGCGCTAGCTCTAGCCGCAACATGCAGGCTACAAGGCAACCTCCGTTTGTTCGGCTTGATCTCGACGTAAGGCTTTCTCGTTCGGACGATGATGCCGAGCCCAGCCTTGTCCCATCTGAGCCGATATCACCAAAGTATCACGCTCCAGAGGAAGAGATTTCCCTCGGCCCAGCCTGTTGGCTTTGGGACTACCTGCGGAGAAGCGGCGCTGCTGGTTTCTTCCTCCCCCTTAGCGGAGGTATTGACAGCTGTGCTACAGCTATTATCGTACACTCTATGTGCAGAGAAGTCGTCAAGGCAGTCTCGGAGGGAAACCAGCAAGTCATCAAAGATGTCCGTAGGCTGTGTGCAGAACCTGAGGGCTCGACCTGGCTTCCCAGCACCAGCCAGGAAGTATGCAAGTGAGTTTGCTCCTTAGCGGCCTCTTATGACTTGCTTTAAACATAGACAATATTAACATCGAACCTAGCCGCATATTCCACACCAGCTTCATGGGCACCCAGAATTCCAGTAAAGAAACAAGAGAGCGGGCCAAAGGGCTCTCCACCGAGATTGGGTCCTATCATATCGACTTCAACTTCGACACTGTTGTGACTGCCATCACGAACTTATTCACTGTGGTCACGAATTTTCAGCCCCGGTTCAAAGTTCATGGCGGTACTGGAGCTGAAAATGCGGCGTTACAGAATGTCCAGGCTCGTTTGAGAATGGTCCTATCGTACTTGTTTGCTTCGCTGCTCCCAACTGTTCGTCAACGTCCAGGTGGAGGTGGACTACTTGTGCTCGCGTCTTCTAATGTAGATGGTAAGAGATACTCTTGACTTCATGAAGAAACTCTTAAGTCCACTAACTGTTGTCTAGAGTGGTACGTGCGAGCGGCAATGCTTTAACAGCCGGAGCAAATTTGAGTTCTCCATAGTTTGATCCCGACTAACATTGTCTAGTTTGCGTGGCTACCTGACCAAATACGACGCAAGCAGTGCCGACGTGAGTACAATTTCTCAGTCAGGTCGAGAGACCTTCTGTTCAGGAACTTGAGCACTAAACAAATCGCAAAATAGTTGAATCCCATTGGGTCGATTAGCAAGGTCGACCTCAAAAAGTTCATCGCCTGGGCGCGCGATTCATTCAACCTTCCAATTCTGCACGAATTCTTAACAGCAACCCCAACCGCCGAATTGGAGCCTATTACAGCTACTTACGTCCAGTCAGATGAGGCCGACATGGGCGTGACATACGCCGAACTAGGCACATTCGGCTACCTGCGCAAGGTCTCAAAATTGGGACCCTGGTCAATGTACGAGAAGC